TATACGTTTTTTGACTGGCACATCAACTACTTCTATTTTACGTTTCATCTTAATCGAAAATGTTAGGCCTTCTTGCTTGATGTCAACATGCAAATTTTCTCCTATTGATGACGTTGCAGTACATGTTATTCTTGGTAAACGAACGCAACATGTTTTCAGATTTTTCTGAAGTGTTAAAAAAGAATTTGAAATAAACAATTTTTTTTTAATTAAAACGAATGATTGCTTACGATAATTGGTGGTAAGTCGACTGATGAACTCCTACGTCTCTTTGTTGGTTGCATGGTATCGGTTTCTTCATCATCTACAATTTGTGGATCATTTTCATCGCCGAAATCACTCTCGTTGTCACGTTGAGTAATGTTTGTAGTCGTCCTGTATTTATTATAACATTAATAAATTTCAAAGCGTCTTGTTTTCATGAATATCTGTTTCATCTCACCTATTATTTACGGTTACCACCTCATTCAAAAAAGACATGAGCTCATTGCGTCGAATTTTCATTTGAGCAGCACTTCCGGTTCCCAGCTTTTTTTCCTTTATTGCGATTATACGAATCTCTGATATTTATCCAACGCTTCTAACAGTCGAATCCTTATAAACAAGGACATTCAGTATATAAAAACTCAATGAAAGCATTGTAAAAGTTGAAAATTACCTGATTTTTCGATCGTTTTGCCAAATTCTCCAAATAAGTGGTCGCGGTATGTTCTGCTTTTATAGTTTGCATCTTTTGGATTGTATATTGCTGGGTTTAATTTAACATATTCAATTAGCCTCTCTTCATTCTCAAGAGAGAATTCCAGGCGCACATATGGTCGCTTTGTATTTGTTGTTGTTGTAGATGTAGATGGTTCCATTTGGTTGGTCATGTCTAAAATTATATTTTTGATTCACATTTTTATATGCTATCAATTATAAATTACGTGAAATATTACCGCGTTTTTATATATGTATGAATGTGTAATTATAATCTAAATGAATCATGCTGCCATGACACGGCACCAACTGAATTGAAATAATCCTTAAATTTATCTCTTATTTGATACTTTAATTCTTCTCCCGAATCACCTTCGTCTTCATTATGTTCAGAGAGCGGAACCAACTCATTTGGATCAGATTCTAAACAGACGTCAGCCAGTGATCCCTTCTCATCTATCATTAAATTGTGTAAAATACATGCAACCGTCACTAAATCCTCTACAACACTTATTTTTAAATGAATTGGAGTGAAAAAAATTCGGAAAATTTGCGAAACTATGCCAAAGGCATTTTCAACAATTCGTCGGGCCCTAGACAGTCTATAATTGAAGATAGATTTGTGTCGATTAATTGAACTTTGATTGCGAGGATACGGCTTCACTAAATTTTCCAGAAGTGGGAACGCTTCGTCACCAAGAAAGACATATGGAGCCACTACATCACTACCTGGTAGCATCGTTGCCTGAGGTGAATCGAAAACTTTATTTTGTATAGCTCGACCAAGCGCGCACTTTGAAAATATGCCTAATGAGATGAAATGCATAATATGCAGGTAATATGTCGAAAATCTCAATGTGCAATTTATGGTTTACCTGCGTCACCCTCACGTCCGTAGCTTCCTACATCTATCGCTATGAATTTATACGTTGGGCCAACGAGAGCGAATAAAACTATCGAAAAAAAATCTTTATAATTATAATACAACGATCCAGTTTTACTTGGACATCTGATGCGAATATGCTTTCCGTCTAAACAACCCATGACATTCGGAAAATTCCATTTCTTGCCAAATTCAATAGCATTAGATGAAAAATCATCCTTGGTTGGATGTGGTAGTGCGTAAAACATGTGTCTTTTAATTGCCAAAATCACTTCTTTTATAACTTTACCAATCCAAGAACTTGAAATTCTGAATGAAAATGACAGCATTGAAGTGTAATTTTATCAAATAAGTGTAGGGGAACTCAATGTCATTACAAAAAGGATACCTGAGCGTCACACAAAGTTTTTGCTCAGCACATATTGGAATTCTATTTCTGTTGGTCGGATTAAAATCTTTTCGCGAGTGAATCGTCTTTTGGGTGATAACAATTCAACAAGTAGAGCATAATCTTCTTCATCGTCTTCAAGAAAAAAATGCTGTATCAAAAGTTCCCGATAGTTCATATAACTACAATTCATACATATTTAACAAAGCAATGTAATTTTTCCACAATACAATTTGCCAGTTATAAAAATATGGTGATTTCCCATCTTACCTGAGTAATTAAGTTTCCTTTACTTCAACAATTAATCTTCTAATTGGTATATCTTCAGAACGCGAATGATAATTGCACAGTCTCTAGTCTTTGTCCTACACCATATGAAAATGATCACACTCT